CATGGGGAAATCTGATTGGGCTCATTACCCTCTGCTCAGAGCCAGCGTAGGAGGCGCAAGGAGAGAAGGAGCCTGCACTCTGCGGCTCATTGCGAATGGACGCCACGGCCGCTCCTGTCGCTATCAGGAGATCACGGCCATCTGCCGAAGTTCTCCCCTATCTCGGCCCGCCTTGTCCTCCGTCTCAGCCTCTGTGCCGCGGAAACAAATGAGGGCCGTCTCCTCTCTCCGTGCCTTGGCGCGGCGGCGGGGAGGACGGCCATGGTGAGCCGAGGCTATCGGCACGAATTGACTCCCATCATTCAGGCCTGCTGCTGAACGAGAAGGAATGGCTGATGCATACCGTGAAGGACATGCAGAGTAACGGTGGAGGGAGGGGGGACATAAGCTGAGGTGATTGGTGGGATGTTTGATGAACTTCATAGCAGGCTGGATTTTTAAATTTTTTTTTTCCTGCTTGACTTTGAACTCATGCTTACAGGGAGAGGATTTCACCTTAGCTTGACCGCATCTCAAGAAGTGACAATATTTCCAACAGTTTTTTTTTTCTATTAGGTTTGCTCTCTGCTTTCACTCATCAAGAGATATTTTGTAAGGATAAAGCTTTTACATGCCATCAGTCGGGACTCTGAACCGGCTGGTTTTAATTTGGAATGGCATAGGATGAAGGACTGCTTTCAAAGTTATTTTCTTAGCTTCCCATGCCTGTTTGGTCCTTGCTTTCTTTATCTTTTCAATAATACATGGACAGATTTGTGTTGATTTCTTTTCATGTGTGGTCTTGGGTTATCGCTAACATATATTGAGAATTCTGTGCCGTTAGCCTGGTAAGGGATACATTTAGTGACAAAAACATTGACATGTACAAGGACTTTTCAAGTAAACGTGAACTCCAGGGAATGGTTCAACCCAACATAAAACTCCAGGTGGATTTAAGCTAATATTGTTATCGTTTTACCGTTGGCATCTATTTACTGACACATCACCCTCTAAGACTCTGCAAAAATCCTACATGACTCTGGAAAAGCCCACTTTCCTCCAAACTCCTGACAAAAACCTGCCTGGGATGCAACTTGGTCATCTTTGAGATGGGAGCGTACCCAGTCAGCCCGCCTCATGAACCTCCACAAATTTCCTCTGTGACCTCTTATTTTCTCCCCCATTTACGTCCACAACAACATCGGAGCCATTGAAAACATCACGATATTTTGCACTCAATAGCTACTTCCTGAGGCGTTTGATGTGAACTGTGCACTATTGAAAGCGGAGAAAAAGGGAGCGTCTCGTAGGGTTGCATGAAATTACGCAGCCCTGAGGAGAGGAGACAAAACCTCTGTTCTGACGGTGAACGCGAGTCTGGTTCAAATGAAAGTCCTTTGAATGGAGTATTAAAAGGGTCTGTTAAAGCTTTCATACAGCTCAGTGATGTGTCCAGCATATCATCAAGCAATGCGGATGTGCATTGAATCTCATTCCTCTTTATTACATTGTGTTCCTTTTTCTTGTGTGATGATAGTTCATCAGTCAGCGGCGCTGGCTGTTCGGCGTTGATACGGTTCAAAATTTCATGAAGCTTTGAATGATTTGTCATTAAACTTTTGCACAGTGCGCTACCCACCAGCGACCTGTTCTCCACTCTGTACTACCGCCACGAGCTATGAAGACCTGTTGGCATCTCAGTCCTTAGTGAAAATTAGTGTGGTCGTGTATTTCCTCTAAAATATCCAAAAGCACACAGCCTGTTCTTATCTAAACTGCTCAGAACAAAACACGGTATAGGCCTGTCAAAATAAACAATAAATCAACTAATCACATGATCAATTAAAACAAGCTCAATCATTTAATGCTTTTCTCATGTCTCTGTCTATTCTTATTCTGCTTAGCAACCAAGAGCTTTACCTTAGATCAACATCTAGATTTACTTTATAGAACCACTAATTCATGTAAAGCATTTTGTTGCTGAAAATGTGCAATATAAATAAAATTACCTTATTTCTACCAAAAAATGGATGACAGAAGTCTTCATTCTGGGTTTTTTAGTCACAGAGACTTCATAATTAATTCAGTTTGTTTGTCATTTCTGATTTGTTGAATTATTTTGGATATTTAAAATGTCTTCCAGTTCCAGTTTTAAAGGTTCATTAAAATTTGAGAATCTCTTGCATTATTTTTCCATTACTATTATATTATTTGAAAATGGTCTCAAAACAACAATATTATCGTCTATCGCGATAACGTCTGTGACGATTTATCGTTGGGGAAAAATTTATTGTGTGACAGGCCTATCTCTAACCATAAGCAAAGGCTTTGAATACTTTGCAAGTGGTTTACTATTTTTAATACATCTGCCAAAAATCTTTAAAACTGTTTTCCACATTGTAATAATGGAGTATTTGTGTGTAGATTTTGAGGGACTAGATTAATTTTTAATAAATTTTAGGATAAAGTTGCAACATAAAATGTGGACAAAATATGAATCACTGCATGTACTTCCACTATATATCTAAAAAAAAAAAAAAAAACTAGTAGAAAATCACATCTAACTGCATTTTCTGCCTCGCCTGACATTTGTGTTTCATGTGTTCGCCTGTAAAACAGATTAGGACGTTGATTTGGCTTATCCCCTCAATTACTAAAATATGCGGCAGTGGCCTCTCACAGTAAGCACCCAACTATATAATGTAGCTCCGATTGTGTGAAGCTGTTGTGTCTGATTGCCAGCTAAGCGCTTTAGCTTGGCAGAAGCCGTTAAACGGTAGGCTTGGACCGCTCTGCGGCGCGGGATTACCAAATCTGCAGTTGATTTCTGTGTTTTTGGGCTACACTGGGAAAGCTCAGCCATCCTCTGTGTTAATTGCCTCAGAGCGCGCTCTAATTTCATGGTTCATGTGAACTACTGTCTTTGCTGTCAAAACGCACATGGATAGACTTTGTGTAGGCTACAACCAAACCTCTATAAATCCTTAAATTTGACCGAGTAGTACGTCACATTTCATCCTCTCTTTTTTTTTCTTTTCTTTTTCTAAAAATGAGCCTTTAGAGGCTTTAGAAACAATGCAGATTGGTTTGGAAATGGCCTCTGTGACGCCAAGGGAGTCATTAAGGGCCAAATTGCTGCTTGTGTTGAGCTGTAGTCCATAATTAGGTCAGAATGCAAGTGCTCGTATTGTGATGTTGGCCCACAAGGACTCGCCAGTGTTTGGAGTGTAACCATGTGTGTCACAGTGACTCATTGAGTCCCTCTAGTGCTGCTGCTCTGCTAATAGAGGAGGCCTCGTTCACAACCTCACGCTCTTATCAAAACGACTTTACAGCCCCCGTAATGTGAGGCCCCCAATTTACGCAGCGTTTAGCTGTTTTGACCTCTCGCCCTCATGAGTCTTGGCTCTTGGAAAATCGGGTGGAGGAGTTAAAGGGGGGCGGTGTGCTAAAAGCTTAGAGAGTATAACGACACCTGGCTCCAACTCTGTAAACTCATTCTGGCTCTTTTTCAACTTCCTACTTCATCACCTTGCTGTACAAGTCCATCTCAATACCCCCCCCTCCCCTCTCGCCTTTCTCTTTTATTGATCATCAGCTGGCGTTGGGAGGAGAGAGGAGGTTTAATTAAGGAGCCAGACTGGTCTGTCAATTTTGCTCAGCGCTGCGTGGAGAGCACCAGACCAAGCGATGGTCCTAATAGGGCTTCACACTGTAAACAACACGCACACCTGGACAGCGCGGGGCCTCGAGGGGGAAACGAGACAAGAGGGGCTGTTGACAAGCCGGCTCTGAGGAGAAAAAGTTCAGCTCCCTTTTTGTTTTCTTTTTTTTTTTCGTTCAGGCACAGTGTGAGAACACAAGTTTAAGTCTGTGTTACTTCCACAAAATGTTGAATCAGTTTGCAGAAAGATTCAGAGCTGGTGGGTAAAACTTTAATCGTGTTGCGAAAAAATCTGAATCAGTTCAAGTTTCAGCTACTTTTTGAAGACCTATAAAGATGCGATATGTACTTTTTATTACATATGGTTTTTACATGCGTTTTGTTAAAGTTATCATTATGTTGGCAGTATAATATAAGACGGATCATCTGTGAAAAAATTGAGTTCTTCACAGAAATTAACCACTCAGTCAGAAACAACCAATCAGAGGCAGGAGGCGGGTCTTAGCACTGTTGATCACTCTCCTTCTCAGCCCCTCCCATTTACTCTTTGCTAAGCTACAGCTGGTTCACAACAACATACCCTGCTACCAATGCTAAGACTATGTAGCATAGCCGCCAATAACGACAGATTTCAGGTTTTCCTGTAATTGTAAGTTAGCACATTCAGCAGCATACCGAATATTTATTGATTGACAGCACTAAGACCTTCCTCCTGGCTCTGACTGGATGTTTTTTGACCAGGAGTGGTGAGTTTTTGCAACATTTTTAGCAGCACTGGAAGGAGGTGGAGGAGCCCCTTTTTAGTTTTCCTGCTAGCTAACTTGCTTATTGGCTGATCCCCGTCAACAGCACAGGACAACCCAGGAACCACTTCCTGTTGTTCCATCAAAATAAGAGTCTGAAATATTGCCAAGCTAATAGCATTCACCTTCATATCAGCTAATCCTGGAATTAGAATAAACGTACTACTACTACTTTGACAGGGAGCTCAATTTATATTGTGAAAAACGTCTCTACTGCGTTTTGTATGACGGTTTCCGTTTATAGTGCAAAACGATCAAATTTCAAGACCAAGCATGTCTGTCTTTTTCACAACAAGCCTGACAAAAGGTAAAAAATAAAACAAAAAAAATGTAGCGGCATCTTCGGAGGAAATTAAACAGCAGGAAACAACGGTTCGTATTTCACTCTGATTTGAGTGTTGCGTTCCAGTATAGGTTTAACGGGGGAACGGCCTCTGGAGCGCACTCCTCCTCTCACATGCGCGTCATCTCTGCCTCGTTGTTGGGGCCGACAACGATCCCTGGCTTCAATCGATAAAAACATCAAAACAGCTCTACCCCTGCCCTCGTGTTGACTCTGCGTGTCTCTTGTCTCTCCTCCAGAGAAAGTCAGTATGCTGTCGGCATTGATCGCTCCCTTCAAGTACATAAGCCCTGGGACCAGCAGCACGGAGGACGAGGACAGTTTAAGTAAGCCGCTGCACACCTTCTCCGTCTCTCATTGGCAGACCGAGTGTGGAACTGAAATCTCTGTTGCCTGCATAAATAACTATTTTGGGGGGCAAAAGGGAGGGAATGAGCTCTTTGATTACAAATGGGTCTTTTAAAAGTGAGCTAATAAATGTTAAATCTGAGTGTTCCTGATGAATAAGTCATCAAAACGGATGCCTCGCCTGACTGCCTGCCTCCCTGCATGCACGCTCATCTTTAGCTACAATCTGCCCCACCAGTAAGTGACTCCCATCCCACCGTTGAAATTCCTCTGAACGCCCCGTTTTTGTTCGTTTGCCATCAGAAAGCCAATACACACCACCACTTCACTGTAACGACGGTTGAAGAGCGTATCGCAGCTGTTTCAGGCTTTTGCTCTCGCAGAGGATAGAAGTGTGAAATAAAGCAGGCTCCAAACCCTTTTTTTCTTGGAAAGTCTTAGCACTCACACACACCCACCCACCCGTTTCCTCCCTCCCCATTACAAATAGGATTGATGCTCTGCGAGGGCCGCGGGGACCAATGTTTCCTTCTCCCCGACTCAGATTCCGAACCAATTTGGAGGCAGATTACAGGATGATTTGGCAGATAACATCACCATTTCAGAGGGATTTGTATTTGGGTTTTAAAATACTTAAATATAATAGAGCCCTGTGGTATGAAGTGGGCTCGGCTGCGGGTGTTGATTGTAGATGTGTTCATTACCATTTCATTGTGTATCAAGTGGCTCAATCTGCCTTGAGAGATTTTCCTTGATTCATTTTTGTTCAGCCAGGATAAATGAGAGTGTTGCACAGTAATGATTACTTTCTTTTCATTTTATTTTTTGTTTCTTTAGTATTTTCCATCTCTTCCTTTAAAATAGTTTCTGTTTTGTTTTGTTTTTTGTCTTCTGGTTTGCATTGCAGGCACGAGCAGCACCGAGGTGAAGGAAAACCGCAATGTTGGGAACATGGAGGATCTCTCCATCGGCTCCGGAGAATGCCAGTCGCTTTTCTGCTCGGAGTTGTCGAGAGGGGCCAGCTCTGGCCTGAAGAGGAAACGGCCACTGGAGGAAGACAACAACGGGCGCCTGTGTCAGCTCCGTCTCATCTATAAGAAACTCTCCTGGTCTGAGGCTCCAAAGAACGCCTTAGTGCAGCTGAACGAGCTCCGGCCGGGGCTGCAGTACCGCATGGTGTCCCAGACCGGCCCCGTCCACGCTCCCGTCTTCTCCATTGCCGTGGAGGTTAACGGACTCACCTTTGAGGGTACCGGACCCACAAAGAAGAAAGCAAAGATGAGGGCCGCCGAACTGGCTCTCAAGTCCTTCGTCCAGTTCCCCAACGCGCCCCAGGCCCACTTGGCCATGGGAAACATCTCTAACCCCTCGGCAGACTTTACGTCCGACCAGGCTGACTTCCCTGACACGCTCTTTAAGGAGTTTGAGGCGTCGCCGTGCTCCGACGGCCTCGCGCTCTGCGCCCCGACGAGCGAGAGCGACCTGCTGTCGAGCGAGCTGCTGAGGCACGGACGGCTGCTCCGCCACACGTTGGACCTCATGGTGCAGGCCCAGCAGAGGCTCGGCGGGATCGTCCCAGAGCCCGAGGCGCCGAAGAGCCCCGTTGCGTTGCTCAACGAGCTCCGGCCGGGCCTGCGCTACGCCTGTCTGTCGGAACGAGCCGAGGGGAGGCGGCCGCGGAGCTTCGTGATGGCGGTGCGCGTGGACGGGAGGATATTCGAGGGCTGCGGTCGCAGCAAGAAGCTTGCCAAGACGCAAGCAGCCCAGTGTGCTCTTCAGGCCCTCTTCGACATCAGGACGGCCCCCGAAGGGAGGACGGGCCTCAAAGCCAGCAGGAAGAGTTGTCCTCATTTACCCCAGGTGAGTGAAGTCACATCCCAAATGCTCGGGTTCCGCTAAACTTCTTTGGCAAGCCACTCTATGTCCTACAGCGACCCGTAATGACCAAAACAGCAGGCATGCAGCAAAATCCCAAACACCTTCCAAAGAGTAATTAAGCTAGAAATTAGATTGAAGCTAAAGATAGCGGACCGATGAAGGAAATCGCCGCAGCACAGATAGAGATATGAGTGAGCAAGCAGGGATTTGTCTGGTTACAAATTTGTCCTCTTTTCATTGTGTAGGATTGGATATTGAGTAAACAATATCCGTTTGTCAGTCTATTTTAATAGAATAGCATGTAAATGAAGCTAATTATTATCCCAGTGCCTCTGACACACAAGAAATCTCCATAACAACCCAAATGAGATTTCTTTTTTTCTTTTTTTTTTTTTTTGTTTGTTTAGGGTTTTTTTTTTTTTTCCACTGCCGTATTTGTGTGCCGAGCTGTAATTGGGAAGGTTTTGTAATTTTGCAAAATCTCCTGTTTTCTCGTGTGTGGCATCACAGTGTCTACAAACATTAATTCAATTCCGTAGCCCAAAGAAAATCGAAAAGCAAAGAGCAAGTTGACAAACAAACCACTGAGACCAATCCCCAGCTCATTTAGCCAAATACTTAAGTAGCAATCAGAGCGAGGAAACTAGAAGATTTTTTGGGGGGGAGAAAACTTGGAAAAATTGAAGAAACAAAAGAGAGGGTTCTTGGACTTCCTTGCCCTTTGTTGACAGCAAGTCCAACTTTCTCATAGCTTCTTGTAGCTGGGAAAAAAAAATCTCTTGAGGTGTTTAATTCGACTGATTGAATTCTTTTTCACATGTTTGCACGGACAAGAAATTATCAACGCCGTCCAGTTCGTGGGCATGCTGACAACCGATAGCAACCCTTTTTAAATTCTCCTTTCTGTCTTATTTTATGCAAGGATGTGTAAGCCACCTGTCTCTCCAGGGTCTCCAATTGGAAAATGAAGCTGTTCACATCCAAAATGTGCTCACCCTTGCGTCTTCCCTCGAAGCCTTTTTTTTTTTTTCCACGCACCCCCCTGCACCCTGCCGGGTGCATGTTGGATTAGCGTTCTCTTTGAGCCTCGCAGAAATAAACTGGCCAGGATGTCCTTCCCCAGAGCAAAACATCAACCCAACAGACCTGCACATGTTTGCCTGGGAGAAACTTTTTTCCCCCTGACTGCCACGGTGTCTAAAAGGATTTTAAAAGGATTTGCTGCACCCGTTTAGTTCCAGAGAGCAGTCGCTTGTGGAATTTCTTGAAAGTCAAGCGTGCCGTCTGCCAGCCTCTAGAAAACATTTTTTTTTTGTTGTGGGGGGGACAAACATAATCCATATAATATTTATGCATGTGTGGACGAACAAGGCGTAGGGGTGGCGGTGGGGGGTGTTGTACAATGTCAAAGCAAAGCCGCCCAGTTAACACAGCACACTCGCATGTGAGTCAGTCCTGACGCCAGGCACTGATCGCGCCGATAGCGGCTGACTACTCTGCAGATGCGATGCGGAATTCGGGGGCGGCTGCCAGATGTAGCCTGGGGGTAGTTCAAATGGTGTGGTGTCATGCCAGCTTCTGTGTGCCAGCTCAGACTGTTCTCTTTCCTCCGAATTCCCTGCAGCGCTACCTGTTGCACAGTGAAGCCGTGCTGGTGAAAATGTTCAACACGGCGAACGCTGGCACGGCTTCACAAGGCGGCAGAAAAGGGCTCAGCCTTAAAAACCTCCAACAATTAAGATGTCAGAAGTCTATGGGAGAGCCGCTTGGTGTCAGTCATACGCCATGAGCTTCGCGTGTGAAAATGTTGCTGACAATGTGAAAGCCACAGGCTCCAATCAGATGATTAAAGTTGTTGACATTTTGTCGAACATTCTGCTGAGAGTTTTTTGTAACATTAAAAAGGCAGTAGTATGTAAAATCGACTTTTGTGACCATTACATCATGTTATAATATGAAGCGTTGCTTTGACTCTTTCACACATTTGAGAAATTCTTTCATCTCCCATGGCAACCAATCAGGTATCCATAACGCCTGGGTGGGATCTAGCGCCACTTTCGGGGACTAAGCCCCTCCTCAGAGCTGCGACCGCCACACAGAGCAGAACTCCTCCACTCAGCTCCTTCAGACTAGCCAGCAGCAATTAGTAAACACCTGCTGGAAATGCACATCTGCTGAGCTCATTATATAAGCTACTTCTCAGTGCAACGCTGGTAAAAACGGAGTTAAAATGTTAAGAGGAACCATATTGAGATGACTTCCTGAAGGTGGAGTTTCAGAAAGAGCGAGAGTTTTTAAAGAGACAGAGGCCCAATTTCAAGGCTTTGAATTACAAAGTAAAATTTCTCTTGAGTCATATTTGATATATAGAGCATTTTTTAACTGTTAAATCTGTTACTTGATTGTGCTATAAAATGCCAGTATTTGCCTAGAAATGGCATAATAGTGCCCCTTTAAAAATGGTGGATGCTTATTAAGTGCTTATGTTTTCAATTACCCTGACAAGAACTCTTTATTGGCACTTTCCTCCTCACTTCAGGAACCTGCATATGACAGGAAGTCAAGCTTAACGCTCTCATCCTCATTACTTTGCCAACTTTCTCTGACAAAATCACATGTAGTATTGATTAGAGCTTCTAGAAGGGAAATATTGCGGCCATTTAATGCCAGTAATGAGGGCAGGATTTCTTCTCACAGAACACTATTCCAGAGATTTGTCCGTACTAAAAGGGGGTTTTCCAGAAGTCTAACATGGACTCAGTTGAACTTGAAGGATTGCAACTAGTATCTATTGCAACAGTGAAATATTTAGATGCAGCGCAACTACACAGAGTTTTATTCTTCTCACTTCCTCCTGGTATCACATCCATACCAAAGAGAGGAGCAAGAGGGATTGACGAGACAAGCATACAAGCACGCTAGCAAAAGACTCTGCTGCAGCAATTTCAAGCTATAGTTTTGTCCTCCTACACTCATGTCTCTGGGAATTAGCTTTAACAACCGGAGCAGAAGCAAAGCATTGGACTGCAGTTTGCTTGGCATTAAGGACGTATTTATCTACAAGCGAAGGCTTTTGATTTTCTGGTCGTTCGTTTAACCCTTTTTATGATCTGGGGAAATTAAAACCGGGATCAGTTCTGCTGACGAAACCTCATTCGGATGTCAATCCAGTCATTCTCGGACTGAAAATAAACTTAGTCACAAATCAGCAGCGGTATCTAAGGTATGGAAGTAAAAAAAGAAAACAGAAAAGGCCCCCTTTCTCTACTGTACATATCCTAAGCTCAGCCTCAAGGGTATGTCAGCTTCTAGACCTGCTTGACTTTATTATTAATCAGTCATTAGTGAGCAGTCCTTCAGTCCAAGCCTCAGCAATCCAGTTAGCAGTAAATGCCTTTGCTTTATTAAAGCCTGCAATGAAGTGAGAAAGCACTGGAATAATCCTGACACCCATTTTAACAAGTGGAATGATTACCCCACTGTTCGGGCCTTGATTGTCCACTTAATCTCCACTTGCCGTCACAACGCGCCATGGTGTTGCCAAGTCAACGAAGTGTTTGGCCGGCACTGCGACTGTGGGAGGCCAGAGAAGTCAGTATTCTGCCACCTTGGACGTAGGAAACGTGTTTGCTGGCAGAGCCGAAACGGTACGACTAAGGAAAGACTGCAGATGAGACACCAAGCGTCTCTTTCTGCCAATTCCTTTATCACTAAAGATCAAATGCAGCCTTATGTTTGTCGGCTTCTTTATGTTTAAAATGATGCGATTTGCTTATCTTGAAACGTGAAGCAGCAGCGATGGAGAGGGGATACGGAGCGGTCAAGTGGAGTAATTTCCCTGCCTCCGCCACGGCAAATTGAATATGATTTCAGACACTTGAAGGTGACCCCTGTCAGCGGCTGAGCCTCTCGCAGATTGTTTTCTTTGTCTAATCTCTCCCTCCTCTAATCTGTCTCAATATAAACAGCTGTGACAGGCTGATCATTAATTAATATTGCCACAACAAATTAGCGACAGCGATCGCCCGGCCAAGCACCCTGTCTAAGATAGAAATCCACCAGCTTGGGCGAAGGGAGGGGAGGGGAGTGGAGGGAGGTGTGAACAACACATTAGAGAGGAGTTGATTAACAGCTTTGGAGACCTTGCAGATAGCGTTGCACCCACAGCATGTGGACAGCGATGGCAACAGATACACAAATAGTGACAGCTTTTTATACGACCGGGTATCTCACAGGATCGCCTGTGATTATAATTACAAATGGCGCGGTGCAAATAGGGCGATGAAACATCTGCATCCATCACCATCTGAAGACGCAGTCACAGACGATGGGAAATGGTTCAGGAAGTATAGAGACGTTGCCATGTGATGTCACGCACGCAAGAGCATTAAAGCATAATATTGTAACGGACTTAGTGTTTTATTCTTTGTATGAAAAATGGTTTCTTGTTTTTTTGGTGTTGAATCCTGATACACTAGTGGAGTTGTTGTCAGTTACCATGGCGATGGGTCCGTGTGTAGCCTAGCTAACACAGAGAGAGAAAGAGGAAGAATATCAGATCTTCAGTTGTTCTTGAATGTTTTGTTTGTGTTATTTTTCCTTTGCTTTGGCACAGGGCACTAACTTTGTTATACTTTCATCTCCAGGTTTTGTTTTGTTGACAGAAATATTCTGGCACAGCGGCACGGCTGAATTGTCTTTCTGCCTACAGCATTAAGCGCAAAATGTCCAGATGTAAATAATAACATGCCAGGTGTCTATGTGATCTCAGGAGGGATGAGAAGGGAACATCACAGGGCTGGGCGGTATGAGCCTCGCCATATTCCCATTTGAATTTAAATCTGGACTTGACTGGACCATTTTGACTTCTTTTTTTCATCCAAACCATTGCATTATAGTTTTGTTTGCTAGAACCAGCAGAATGACCTTTATCCATGATGCTGTCTGAACTTAAAATACACCTTGTGTGGCTCTGCTGACTA